TATTCGCCTCCAGCAGAATTTTGCTTTCATAATAATCACTTACGTCGAAAGCACACAATATTGCCTCCTTAAGGTCAACAACAGGTGTATTTTGCTCGTGAACTTGTGCTCTCTTACGTGCTGCATTTATTTGTGCAAATGTCTGCATTGACCTTATGGTCAATTGAAAAATATTTATCAAATGTGTCTTTCGGCCGTGTTATTTTCTTTTAAATTTCTGTGATTACACACTATTTACAGGTGCTTTATTTTCTTTGAAATCAAAGCGCCGCAAATCCACGGGTAGGCTACACTTGAACACTGCCCAACTGTCTTTTACATAAGAAAGAAGGAAATAATCCCAATAAAAGTCGCAATTTGTCTGACATAACCAAGGGTTCCTATGATATATTCTGACTTTCAAACAAAGATCTTGCCGACATAAATTTGTGCTTTGGAATTGTACAACTGCTAAAAATTTAGCTGTATTCCGTGTTATTCCTTTATATTCTGTATGTATGTATGTATGTATGTATGTATGTATGTATGTATGTATGTATGTATGTATGTATGTATGTATGTATGTATGTATGTATGTATGTATGTATGTATGTATGTATGTATGTATGTATGTATGTATGTATGTATGTATGTATGTATGTATGTATGTATGCATGCATGTGTGTGCGTGTGTATGGTGTATGGTTTTGGTTTATGTGCTTTTGATGGTTTAGTTCTTCTAGCATCGTCCCTTTTCAAGTCTGATTCAGCCTCGCTCTTGTCATTTTCCCAAAGTTCAAAGTCGAGTCTATGGCTGCCCTTTTTGATCTTATTTCCGGCAGTCTGAAGTTTTCCCCAGTCCAGTTCATCTTTTTTTTGGATAGAGGCAGATTGGAGTTTTTGACTGCACCTTTCAGAGGCAAATGTGTTGCTCACGTGATCTTGGTATGTTATATTCAGAATGAGTTTAAATATTTCAGTTGAAAAAAATCGGTTTGTGTCTTATTGTTGCTTAAGGTTTCCAGTTTGTTACATCAATAGAGATTTGCAGGTAGAACGGTGAAGCTCGAACAGTTGAAGTTTCGTTATCTTAATTAGAGTCTAGGTCGTTCAGACTTTTAATGTGTTGATGCCTTTCCCATTTCTGTCATTTACATCCACCTCTATGTTTCCTGCATTTTCTAGACAATTGCCTATGTAGGTGAATGTGTCTATGCATTCTAGTTCTATCCCATTACAAGTTACATTTTATCTTTGTATTTCCCTTTGTTCATAATTTTACTTTTCTCGCTGCTGATGTTTATTTCCAGTTTAACTGCCATGATTGAGACGGTTGTGACTGCCGCCTTCGTCTGTCCCAAATATTGCCATGCAGAATCGAGATCTACTTGTCTTGTTCTTTCATGCAAAACTGTTTGGCCTTGTATAAACTTTATGAACATTTTATGAACATTTCAACCCAAGTAATTGCTTTTTTGGCTTATTTCTTCAAAATTCCTTTAAATAGTGGTAAGAATCATTGTCCTCATGTGGCAAATATACGCATTTTTTTTCAAAGTTGTTTCATTCTTATCGTTTCTTTGCTCGCTATGTATTACGTACAGAGTTCAGTCTTTGAACTGTCCAACCACATAAATGGAGAGATCGGCAAATATGTAATTCTTGTTCAATAGAGAATACTATTAAAGAGAAAATATATGAATCAGAATGAAAATGACGCTACAGCTGGTTTTATTGTGTTATTCTACGAGTAACCTGAAGCAGCAGAAGTAGAAGATGGATACGGTACCATATACAAGATATCCGCAGTTCAAAAGTCATTATAGTCTATTGAAGAAAGCCATTTTCGTATTACGAATCTTAAATTTATTCTCATTTCATATGAAATTTTAAACTGTATGAATGCTTTCATTCTTTTTATCGCCAGTGGAGCTCGCAAAATACAGTATTCCAGCCATCGCTTTGATAAGTTATGTGAAATAAAATTATATGTAATGTCGCCTATATATAATAATTATATTAACTGATGTTGTGTGCGTCTTAATCAGACCAGGTTAATGTATTCAACATTGTTAAATTCACTATAAACGAAACACATCAGAGGCTGATCAGAATGTGTCAAGGTGAAACAAGTAAAAGTGATTTAAAAGACTTGCTCTGGATATTCACGCATGCTGTCTTGAATGTACATCAACCAACTTATTTTAATTACTGACCATCTTTCTCATTTTCTATAATGGCATACAGCTCACATGATATAAAATAAATTAAGCACACGGTACATGTGATATAATCCGTCTAGAAGTAATTTAATTTTAACCCTCTGTACAAATCCATTTTCACCTGGAACGGATTCAGAACGCTGTTCAAAAATGAGAAATCCCCATTAAAATTACCCACTGCTGATGGCGGGGCGCTGTGTTTCATTAAACTAAAGTTCTGCTTCCTATAAAGTTAGTATCATACAGTAGATGGAAATTATAGCTCAAAGTGCACTAATTAAAGTGCTGCCTTGACTTTATTTTGATGGAGATTGCACGGGAGTATTGCCAACTTCTTTATAAATTTCACTGTTGGTGGCATTCGGTTGTTTTTTCATCCAAACACATTTTGCCGGACTCAGATTACCGGATGACTAAGACATGCTGAGAAAGAAAACCAGTCTCATCAAAGATGTAAACAAAACACTTTTACTTAGAAATGACTCCGTGGATATTCTGTATATCGTAACTTTACATACTGTTTTAAGAAAGTTAAAGAAGAAAGAAAAGAAAGCATTAGCAACAATCATGCATGATGCATTCAATAAGTATCTACAAAATGCACCACAAAAAAAACTTCTCAGTTAAATTATCCACATTTTGAAGATCTCATCCTTCTTTATCACTTTATTGCTTAAAATAATTAAACATAAATTGTATTTCACAATTTTTATTAAATGGAAGAAAGGACAAATATTACTATCATCATGTTCCTTGAATTTAATTGACTTTAACATTTGATTTCTGTTTTTGCAATTTATCCAATATAGTTGTTAAAACACTTGTAATCATTATACCATGAAACTGTAAATAAGGTATGCATCTATAAGACTTGAACGCATCAGTATACAAGTATCAATGAGACTTAGACGCATCAATATACAGGTATCAACGAGACTAAAACGCATCAGTATACAGGTATCAACGAGTCTTAAACGCGTCAGTATACAGGTATCAATGAGACGTAAATATATCAGTATACTGGTATCTATGAGACTTAAATGTATCCGTATACAGGTATCTATGAGACTTAAACGCATCAGTATACAGGTATCAATGAGATGCAAATGTATCAGTATACAAGTATCAATGAGACGTAAATGCAACAGTATGCATGTATCAATGAGACGTAAATGTATCAGTATACAGTTATCTATGATACGTAAATATATCAGTATACAGGTATCAATGAGACGTAAATGTATCAATATACAGGTAACTAAGAGACGTAAATGTATCACTATGCATGTATCTATGAGACGTAAATGTATCAGTATAAAAGTATATATGAGGCGTGAATGTATCAGTATACAAGTATCTTTAAGATGAAAATATAGTACTATACGGGTATGCATCTATGAGATGTAAAATTATTTACCTATGAGACTTAATTTTATTACTATACATGTATCTATCGACGAGATGTAATTTTTATCAGTATACAAGTATCTATCTTTGAGAAGTCATATATGAGAAGTAATTGTATCAGTATACATATATGTATCTACAAGTCATGCTTCATTATACAAGTATGTATCTATGAGAAGTAAATGTATCATCATACAGGTGTTTATTTGTGAAATGCAAATGTAACATAAAATCAGTTAAAAATTAGAGAAAGAGGATTAAGTATTTTGCATTGAACAAAACGGATGTTATTTAAATTGCACAGTGCAATATATTAATAGTATAAAATATGTGAAGATCCTTCAACACAGCATTAATAAATTTGTATCAAATTACAAATGTAATATATTAAATCGCACCCACATGACTGATAAATTAATGCTACTGTATGTTCAACACGGGCGCTTATATCTCTTGTGTGTGACCCTAGTCTGCTCCGAGGGCAAAGTTAGCTTGTTGCAAAGTATCGGTTTATCAAATTCGAATACCCTTAGCATTCACTATCGGTAGGGTTGAAATAAAATGCCCACTTGCAGCCACGGATCACTCCAGTTATGATTACCGATTTCGCGTGCCGTGCGCGTGCCAATGTGCAATTACGTCAAATGTCAAGAGCATGACATTGATAGATAATGCTTGTAGTTTAGCTTTATCCTGGAGTCGCGCGCTATCAAATCAAACTATTGTATCAATTTCAACCTTTTGTAACTTTTTCAGTATTTGTCTCGCGAAAAGGCTGACGCTATTTCGTAAGCGTACCTAACTGTTATGTCCTAGATTCGATCAAAGAAGAACCAAACAGAAAAATGGAACAACAAATCACGTTTCTTAAATCAACTGAATACGACTGAGACAGTTTATTGTTATCTACATTCACCAAAATGGTAAGCATACTATCGCAGCTTCTGGCAAATCTATTTATAAAACCAGTACTTGTATAGACCTTTTTCAAGAAGTCGAAACGGGGATTTTCCACTCCAATATTTAACGCATGCTCAATCAACGTAGGGCAATTTTTAAGCTATTGTCACTAGCATAGAGTATGTTCGTGAAGAAGTTTCAAACGCGCGCGCGCGCGCGTGTGTGTGTGCGTGTGAGAGAGAGAGAGATAGAGAGAGAAATTTAGATTTTAACGTAGCTTTAACAATTTTTCAGTCATATCGCTACGATGTCTACTGTGTGACAGTTTAAAAAGTCTAGCACTGGGGCATCATACCGCAGGAACGTGGCATGATGTACCACCAAGTCGCATTATCCTGACACCAGGCCAACCAGTCCTAACGCTAACCTCTTAATGCGGAGCACCAAGCGGGAAGATGTTAGTACTATTTTTTTTAAAAAAAAGTCTTGGTATGACTCAACCGGGGTTCGAACCCATGACCTCCCGCATCCGATGCGGACGGTTTAACCACAAAGCCACAGGAGCGGTTAAACAAATTTGTAAAGTTTGACGTCTGTACACAAAAGTGTGTTTAAAAATCATGAGTAAATAGTTCAATAACCTGTCTAAAACAGAAAAGTAAAAAAAGAGCATAAAAATCATCAGGAGGATAAGTTCAGCGGAAAGAATTGCTAGGCCTTAGGATACATTATCCAAGAGGACCCAGTGAATCACAAACTGAAACAACGGTGGACCTCCTCACCGTTGTTATAGCCTGTCTGCGGTCCTGGATAGGACTTACAAAGTTGGATGATCTATTTCTGAAAGGGGTAGGTGGGCGATTTTCCTATGTGACCAGAATTACAATTTCTACAAATCTACGTGTATTTAGATGACTCTTCAAGACTATACACTCGCAGAAACACGAGGACTTACAAATGTCTTTGTTGCATATAATTAATTTCATAGTGGATGGATGCATACAGGTTATTACACACATTTTGTTTGAAACTTCTTCACGATCATACACTATGCTAATGACTATCCCTTAAAAATTGCCCTACGTTGATTGAGCATGCGTTAAATATTGGAGTGGAAAATCCCCGTTTCGAATTCCTAAAAAAGATCTATACGAGTACTAGCCTTATAAATAGATTTGCCTGAAGATGCAATAGTATGCTTACCGCTTTGGTGAATGTAGATAACAATAAATTGTCACAGTAAGCAATCACTAAATTCCACGCGCACGTGCGCGTGGATATATATATATATATATATATATATATATATATATATATATATATATATATATATATATATATATATATATATATATATATACTTGAGGTTTCAAAATCAAAGAGGGTTTTAGGTCAGAAAACCCCACCCCTTCTAAAATAAATATATTCTGACATTTTTTCATTACCTCAGAGACCCCTCTTCCTTAAGAAACCACTATCCTCCAAATTTTTATCTCAAAAATGAAGAAATTTTGAAACCCTAAGGGGATTCTAGCCCAGAGCCAGAGGCGTAGCTAGGGTTGGGCAGGGGTTACATATGTCCCCGGGCGTCAAGGCACATGGCGCCAAAATGAGGCTTACAACGTTACATTATAATAAGTAAACTAGAAAAATATGATTAAACGGGGAGGGGGCTGGTGCGCCTATATTATAGTTCGTCCCCGGGCGCAAAATATCATAGCTACGCCTCTGCCCAGAGCCCTCACTACCTAAATTTTGAGATGAGGTTGGTTAATTAATTCAGTGACATTTATTGACAACATGGTTTCTGAATGATATTACGACTATAAATAAAACAGTAAAACGAAACAATATGTATAAATCATAATAATAAAATGTTTTTTTTTACAAAACATATAATCACAGCACAACTCCCATGCGAACTCTTAGGTTGTCAAACAATATCCTATCAAGTTCAGGAGTATTTGACTAAATGACCATGTGACCCCTCTAAGTTGCTAAATGACATCCTAGCAGGATCAGAGGAAGTTCGAAATCAGACGAAACATATAGCACAGTTTAACCCCATGTGACCCACTAGGATGCCAAAGAACACTCCTAGCAGGATGAGAGGTTACATATAAACTTATCTTACGGACAGCACAACCCCATGTGATTTCCTAGGTTGCCAAATGACATCCTAGCAGGATCCAAGGTAACATATAAATTTATCTTACGGACAGCAAAGTTTTATACGACCTTTTGTGACCTCTTCGGTTGCCAAATGACATCCTAACAGGATCAGAGGTTACACATAAATTTAATTCTAAAAACTTAGCTAACTTATCTTGCGGACAGCACAACCCCATTTGTGCTTTAAGTTGTGAAAGAAGATTTTAGCAGGATCAGAGGTTACATATAAATTGTAAGAAACTGGTGTCACTACTTCAAGGTTATTTCCATGGTTTTGCCAGTATCTTGAATCGGATATAACTGGTTTGTGCAAATGTCTATTAAATTTCGAGGAAACTGGGCGAGGAGATCAACCGTTGGCAAGGATTCGAATCAGCAATCTCAATGCATTGGGTGAAATGACTACGTAGATGCTGTATTATATACGTTACAAACAGAGATTGCAGATAAATAATCAATATTCTTAAGAATGGGTTTTCATGTAAATGATATGCTATATATACTCGAGTACAAGTCGAGACTCACTGCAGATAAAAAAGATAAAGATCTGCCATAGCATTATGCGCTAGCAGATCAGAGTTTATCTTGCTTCTTTTACTGATTACTCCTTTCAAAACTGCGCGGAACAACATCTGCTGGTGTATTATACGACGGCTTAATTGGGTCTGTGCCGTTTGCAGTTGGACTCAACATACAAGCGAGAATCTAGAGTGACTTTGTTTATATAACGCAATTTAGTAACATTTATGCAAAAGGAATTGCTAGTCAATTCGGCAAATACAGAACTGATACCAGGATTTATAGGTCTTAAAATTACCATCAGGTTTCAGATAAAAGTCTCAAGGAAACAGGCACTAGTAACCAAAAAATTCCAAACAAAATAAAACAAAGCATTACTTAGGTTAGTACAAAAGATTTAATCTTAGCTGAAATAGTATTATCTCCCCTTTAGTAAACAGATAGGGCATCGCTTCTCCAGCCTTCTTCATGGTTTTCGTGTTGAGGAAATGTTTAATACAGTCATATTTATTGACCAATAATCAATGTTTAAGCATAATGTACTGTCATGATTGTACAAATAAAATTTAATGATACTGGTTACTTCTCGACGACATTCAAATAGTTCTCTCATCACTATCTTACAGAGAAGATATTTAGTACCTTTTACAAAAACTTTTCACCTGTCTAAGTCTATATTAATTTTTTTATACTGCTGCTGGCTGATTGAAATATGAAAATTGTCATATTTTAGTGCGAAGTCGTCTTGCAAACTATCGTCTGATGTGATAAAAGATTTTGATTCTGTCAAATTTACTAAACCAAATACCTAAACCAAAAAGCCTGAAATTTCATCGTCCAATTCAATGATAATTGCTGGTTATTAATCACTTTTTATTTTGCTATTCAACTCAATCAAATAATATTGAAGTTTCGAATATTATTTCTAATGTTTAGACAAAATTACTTGCATAATGTCCAAGAGCTAGTGTATTAATTCCGTTCCTCCAATATCTTTTATCATCAAAATTACTTATTCCCTGTTTTATCATTGTATCAATTTTAATTTTATGAAGATTTGTTCTGATGACATTTGTTTTGATAAAACTGACGATATTATTTACCTCTGCTTTAAGGTCGTCAGAATTCATAATCTTTTTCACATATCCACCTTTTGATTTTTTTTTGTACTTTTATAAATGCATACATTTCACTCTTTAGTCCAACAAATTCCCTAACAGGCATAAATATAAATTGATCTTTGATTTTTCCAATAACTTTCTTATTCGAATAATCTTGAAATCCACTACATGCTGAATAATCTGATAAGTGGAACAAATATTTATCTTCGTAAATATTCTGATAGACATTTTCACATTTTATGTTATAATCTAGAGAGTCTATATCAGTGTATAAAAGGTCCGAATCTGGCTATTGCTTTCTGGTAAAATTATAGTGAAAATAGTACATAAACCACTTAGATATATCAAGTACAGCTGCACCAACATTTTCATTAAATATTTTCATACTAACAATCATCCGTAACCAATTTATTTCTATGATTTATGTCATTAACAATTTAAAGACTGACTATTTTTCGAATATTTTCCATCGACTTACCAGTCACCGAGTTGTTCATTAACTTGAAAAGAGTTTTCTCAAATTCAGTTTTAGGCACAACACGGCATTTTTAATCTGCCATCCATCTCGACTGATTAAACTTTAGGATGCGATGTACTTTTCTCAGAATTAGTTCAGCATCTACTGTTTGTTTTGAAATTTTTGTAGTGTGTAACGTAATTTCTTTTATTTAACAAATTTGGAACTAGCTTATTAACAATCGATTTTATTTGCTACTGTCACTGGTCGTTGTTCAGGAGATAATAACCTATAATTAATCATCATTGGGTCTGTGCAAAACGGATAATCGTTATGTAGATCGTGTAACGAACTAGGATAATCTAGATCAACTTCATAAAAGTATGAAAATCTGAAAAATCGATATTAATCTTTCTAGTTAAGTCTTTTTCAGTTTCTCTAAGAAATTGATCTAGAGGTATCCAATGAAATCCACCATACAACATTGGTTCTCACATAGCCCAACCAAGCAAATTCACAAAATCAAAATAAATAATGTGATTGGATAAGAGAGTATTATCATAATATATTTGATATTTGTAATTAGCTACTGCATATTTTATTGTTATAACGCTAATTCTCTTCTAATATCTTTTTCAATATAATTGAACATACTTACATATGTTAAGAGATCTAGTTCTATCTTACTTACTTTTAGTAAAGCATCCTACGACTACTTCTCAAGAGAAGAATAATACCAACAAGATCTAATCCGTAATTTTTATGACTAACTTGACGAAAACTCTCAAAAGCATAAGCTACTAATAATACATCTATTTTCAGATATAAATCGTGATAAGCATCAAATGGTTTACAAATAAATTTATTCCATATATATATATATATATATATATATATATATATATATATATATATATATATATATATATATATATATATATATATATATATATATATATATATATATATATTCGTCATCTGTGATATTTTCATGTTTGAGTTTTGAGTAAACTTTATCTTCATTAAGAAGAGAAGTTGCATTAAAGCTGCTCCGATCGCCGAGATATTCGTACAGAAAGTAACCTTTTTTATTACATCGATATAGTTTCTACCAAAGTAACTTTTTAGGTTAGCGAAATTCAAACAACCTTTTACAAGCTCATCTAATGATGCTGCCATAAATTTCAAACTGTCAATAAAACGTAATTTACCGAGTTTCACTGACATACTTTTCAAATTGGAATGCATTTTATTGTATTATGTAATTTTTGCTGAGCTTTAATATTTTCATCACCA